TCCTGTTTAATTAATTCGTAAAACAATTGTCCTAATGTTGTGAGTACGTAAGGTAAGAATAAAAAACATTATAAACTAATTAATTTATTAACGAATATATTTGTACCAAACCATTGGTATTAATTATTTTATTGGAGTTCACTTATTCTTAGTTTTAAATTATGCTTAGTAGACGATGTCGGAATACAACTTTGAGTTGAACTATCTAGGCACAACAAGAAAAACAAGAGCCAAATCCTATGAGCTATATCCCTTTCTCATGAATTATTTTTAGTTACGAATTAATTAACAATTAAAATGATGATTCTGCTACATTAATCTTAAAAATTATCATTTTCAATGTTGTGTGTTTTTGTGTTATTGATATTATTATATGTTAGTTCTATATGGTACTTAAATCATACGGTTTTATGATTCGATTTTACTATTTCGATTTTAATTCAGTTTTTTATTTTAGTTAAAATCCGATTTTGACGGTATTGGGTGTGATAACTTTCTTACTAAGAAATAATATAACTTAAGATCCGTTCAAGAAAAAGTGTTTTGAATCACTTATAAAACTTTGTTGAAACTACCGAATGGACTTGATAGACAATGAGGTCTCATATCCCATAATTGAACTCTATGCTAAAAACAAAATATTTATTTATATGAAAAAGAAACTGAAAAATATTGTTAATTGATAGATTTCTAAAACATAAATGCATTTTCGGAATGTGCGTGATCAAAATACGCATAATTAGTCGACCTTGAGTTGAATAATCGAAAAACTCACAAACAATCTATAAGAATTAAAATTCTATAAGATTCTATAAAGGAAATGCATCTTAAGATAAGAGTAATCGAAATATGACTCAGAATAGGGTGAATAACCAAGGGTTATTGCATACTTCCATAACTAAATCTAGACCATTTAATTTAAGTGAGCCCAGAAAATTCAGATCTAAGGGTTGAGAACTAAAGGTTTTTTTATTTTTCCTCGTTTTCTTAATCGGCTCTTATCTTCTTCGTTCTAACTTGTGCTCTACAAAATAAGATCAATTTTTAATATTTTTTTAGAAAAACTTTCATACCTCTCGTTACCAACTCCATACCATATGGTATCTCCTTCGTTTTTAAGTATTTTTTGAAAATATTTGCACATAAGGAACGAGTTCGCTATGGTTTATTGGATCTACAAATTTTTTGGGGGAAGACCGGTAAAATAAATAACAGTTAGTATACTCCTACTATCATGTATTCAACCATTCTAGAGTCTGATATGTTCATACCACCATGCTACGCTTTCATATCATATGTTATGCTCTTATTTAATACCATTCAATATCACCACGGTATAGACCGGTAAAAAATGTCTCAATTTTTTGTAAAAAAAAATATCAAAGTGGATATCATTTTGAAAAACACAATTAATCTAATTTATCTATGAATTTTTTTTAATTCTTACTTAAAACGAAAGAGAAATCGTCCGTTAAAAATAAAAGAGGAAAATATTAAAAGCCTTCCATAAGTGACACGAGGGTACTGAGGTGGCGACTGATGGTTGGATTATGCATGGTTATTGACAGGATTCGTTCCATCGAATTAGGCATGATTAGTCGACCTTGAGTAAAATAGTTTGAAATCTCGCAAAGATCGTTAATCTATTACAATTTTAAAAATAAAAAAATGCATCACAATAATACACGTGATTGGAATATGCGTGATTAGTCGACCTCTAGTTGATCAAAATATGCTTGATTAGTCGACCTTGAGTTGAATAGTCGGAAAACTTACATAGATTATTAATCTATAAGAATTCAAAAATAAAAATGTATCGGCATAATACACGTTATTTAAATATGCGTGGTTTGTGGGCATGTATGGTCATAATACACGTTATTTAAAAGTTCACAAAGATCAGTAAATCTTTAGTTGAGTAGTCGAAAAAGTAACAAGAATTGTTATTTGGTAAAAATTTAAAAGTGGAAAACACATCACGTGGTCCGTGGGCATCTGTGAATTCTTTATTCTCCGGTACGTGGTAAAAAATTATTCAACGTGAAGAAATTGTCAACAATGAAAATGTGGAGTTTCATTCAACCAAATGAAATTGCCACTAAAGTTCATGATAATTACAAAACAATTGGAAATGTGGAGTTTCTTTGGACCAAATAAAATTGCCAAAGTTCATGAAATTACAAGATGCACACGAAATGAATAGTAAAAGCTTGTATATATCATTATTGGATATGTGAGGCTGGTGAAGACCAGGGATCGAATTGAAGGGTTTATCACTTGTTGGGATAGTTTGATTGTATGAAGCAACAAAAGGATGATTAAGTGTTCTGTTAGAACTGTTTGATTGGATCTGCAGGGGAATAGACCTAAAGTGCCATGGTACAGTCTCACATGGTCTAGATACTCTATTCCTAGAAATAGTTTCATCAGCTGGCTAGTGATCAAGTACAGGATAACAACTAAGGAAAGGGTGGTGCAGTGGGGAAGATAACCAATGATGCTTGTGCGCTGTGTGGATCAATGCAGGAGACATGTTGCTATTTATTCTTTTCTTGTAGCTACTCTACAGTTGTTTTGAGTGATTGTATATATGATGATAAATCAAACATGTAATGTTTATACGGATTTTGATGGGTATCTCAATTGGGCCATAAGGAAGTTTACAGGTAGAAATCCTGAGGCTAAGTTTACAGGTACAAATGGAGATCAATGCAGTCAAAAGCGCGATTCTACCTAGAAGCGGAAAATGGGTAAAATCGTAAAGCGTAGAATCAAAGCGTAAAAACGTAAGTTTTTGACGCATACTTTAATATAACGAAAAATGTGTTAAGTACGATAAAATATGAGTGGACATAATTTAGATAAGTTAATAAATACTTGTAATTCATGTCTAAAGTTGAGAAACTCATAACATTTTAACAATAAGTTCATAAACATATATCTTAACAATAAGCTACATTCCCCTTTATGCTAGTGAATTTGGGAAGGGCCTAGCTGGTGAATTAGATTACTCTATTGAAACTAAGAATGCACCCAAGTACTTGATATGTATCTTTTAATCTCAAATATATCATATTTTTTGTGATTTACCTTTAAAATATAAGTATTTTCATGAATAGAATACTCCTTTAGTGAACTAGAAGCGTAAAAGCGTAAAGCGTTGTAGTGAACCAGAAGCGTAAAAGCGTAAGCTTTTAAGCTTTAAAGCGCATTTTAGTCCCGATTTTATACACTTAAGATTTTATATGGAAGCGAAAGCGTTTTGGTGTCCTAAAAGCGTAAAACCGTAAGTTTTTAAGTTTTAAAACGTGATTTTGACTGCATTGATGGAGATCAGCTTAGTTTGGAGAGAAAGATTTAGTCTGTTGCATGGTGAGCAGGGGATTCAGCCTGCTGGTGTTGTCAAAAGAGTCGAAAGATGATTGGAGTTGGCAAGGACAGGAAATGTTGAACTGCAACAAGATTGCAGTAGGGTCCGTTACAATTCCTCATTCAAAAGACCCCAACTCCTAAACGAATGCGCCTTCATTCTATTTTATAAGAGAGGCCGTAAGGTCCAAAATGAAAATCATGAAACCAACGAGAGGGAGAAGATAACAAAGTAGCATCAGACTATGGATAACCAAAGAAGAAAACAACAGGGAGCAGGGGAGCTACGGCGAGAAGAACCAAAGACTTTTTCCAGCTCGACTGTCTAACTGGCGATTCGAGGCCTGCCAAGACCATCTAATTGTTATTCAAGAAAGATCACAGGCTCAACTCAAGAGATACCAAAAGCAAGATGTTCCTCGTGACTTTCTCAGGTCCCACAAACCAGGAGCCCCCAAAAAATGACCATGGCAGGCTTTCTCATGTCTCATTTCATCCACTGAATGCAACACCAAAAACAGTTATTGACTGCACACCCTCTTCCAGCACCCTGAAAAAACCCGACAGGGCATGTTTCTGGAAATCGATTTCCTTCAGTCGATTGCCAGGTCCTGAACAACATACAGAGACTAAACAAGAGAAACCAGGAAAGAACGACTAAGATTTGTCAAACAGTAAGGTACACCCATTATCCCTCTTACTAACCACAGTCGAGCAAAAAAAAAAAAAAAGTCTACAACTTTCTTTGTAATCTAGAGGACCCAGAAAAGGGAAATGAACAAAAACCAATATGGAATACCAGTAAACCAGTTTTGGGGGAGAAAGAAAGATCATCTACAACTTCATGTTCATTTGAAGCTACTGTAGTAAAAAAAAAGTCTCAAAGCATGACAAAAGAATCAATTAAAAAATGCACTGCAAGTTCCAACAGCTCCCCCTTCATTTCCTTCCCACCAACCCAAAAAAGAAAAAGAAACAGAAAAAAAAGCTAGACTTCTTTTAACTTACACCTAGTGGCAAATACTGGACAATCCTTTTTAAAGTTTCTGGCTTTCCACTGGTTCTTCCTCTCGCCACTGTTTTTTTCCATTTGTAGGACGAGCTACCACTACAATCAATCACATTTTTCCTTTGCTACTGACTTCACATCAACCCAACACATTCTCTTCAGAATAACAATATCTTCGTCATCTTCTAGCTTCTAGAAGATAAGAAGTGGCAAAAAAGGGAGGTGAAAAGGGAAAGAATTCTTTGTCGGGGGAAACTTGCAGAGAGCAAAGGGAAAGAGTGCAAAAGAGAATGTAGCTACTAGCAAGCTGCCCAACCCGGGTACGAAAAACAAGTTGCCTCATCATCGTGGATACACCGCCAGTTGATAAACAGCTGCCTCAGGACCTCGCAATACAGTAAAAAAATTAGCATACGGAATTGTTGTCCTACAGATTTTGAAGGGGGCTTCATCATCATCATCATCCAAACTGTGAGTGTAGAAGATCTGTTGTAGTAGCCTCCACCCTAAAACCGGTCGGTGGGAATGGAAAAAAGGAATTCTCCTCCAACAGCAACCCAGAATAAATCAACAGACTCGCAGATTCGTACAACTTCTTGCTGCAACCGTTGGATGTCTCCTTTTACGCATAGTACATGTACAAGCTGTTTGCTGCTGCACAGGCGATTGAGTTCTCCGTAGGATGCCATGCAAGGTGCAGCAATTTTGTTGCAGAGTCGAACGAATTCCCATTTGCATCGACACCCGGGCTTTCCGCTCCTGTCAATGATACTTATATATTTGAGCAGGAAAACTAGGGGGTGCAGGGCGAGAGAGATGAATGAGGTACAAACCTCGTCTTACGACACGTGTTAAAGTGGTTAGGGATCTTGAGGGCCTTGAAGGGGTCTGAACTTGTCTCCTACAAGTGAAAGAACAGAGTTAGTGAGATCCCATACTAAGCATACTTTATCATGGCGATTAGTAGTCAAATAGAAAAACTACCTCATTGGATTTTTGCTGGCTTCCAAAGTCGTTGCCTCAGTACTTCCAGGGGAGCAACCAAAAACACGGAACAGATTGCTGCCATTGCAAAGATAAGATACTTGAGATGCATTCACGATCATGAAGTTCCCTTCTTTTATCACATTAGAACACATACCTATAAGAACCAGTAGCTACGCGAGACCCATCTCCACTCAAACAACACTCGAATTTGTCGAAGATGGAATCATTTTCATACAAATCACACAGCTGCAAACAATAAATTTTATGATTATCAAAGATATCGTATATTACATTTAAGCCTCCCTTTGAAAGAAATCTCACCTTGGGTCTTAAATATTCATGGACCTGGAAGGTTGAAACTGGGCCTGAATCCATATTGATATCCCACAACTAAGAGCAGAAAACATTGGAAAGGAAATCAGAAACAAGTATCCAACAAGGTAACTTACTATATGAGGACCTGGAAAGATCGACAAACTTGCACAGGCATATCGACAAGAACTGTAATGCTCACAACAATTTTTTATAACGAAACACAGTAATTTAAATCAAATTCATAGACATAATCAAAGGTAGAGACTATGATTTAAGCTAGATACAGAGGGGGGGGGGGGGGGGGGGGGGGGGGAACGTGAGAGGGGTCATGCATCATAATTCCAACATGACGCGCTGTAGATGAGTTCATTTTCTACTCAAGAGTCTGTTAAACTCTGATGCAATCATAAACCCACACCGGATCCATTGCCATGCTACTTTCATGTCTAAAGCTAACAACATTAACTTGAAGCCCAGGACTTTATTCAACACAAGTAACTTATGTTATGATGTAACCTTTGAGTAACTTCCAACACAATCTTTGGAAAATGCTTACTAACAGGTCATTAACCAAATAAACTTTGATTATAGCTTCAAAAGCAAAGAAATCAACTGATAGTTTTTCCACTAGAGTTGAACCTGGCCACCGCTCTCAAATACTGTAATGGTGCTTCTAATGTCCTGGACAGAGTTCCAGGACAAAAACAAGCAAAACACAGTGACAAACAAGTGCTCTTTCTCCAGCGCAAGGTGTTACACATCAGCCTCTACAGAAGATTTATGGCAACCCTTTGAAGAGGTGGATATTTGTATTTAATCACATTTAGAAACTTCAAAGTCAGACATTAACGTTCACTCTCTAAAGGGACACAAACCTTTAGCGTCATGTAATCACGGCTAAGCAAATATCGTCCATCTTTTGCAAATTTAATATCAGAGATAGAAGCGATTATCTCTGTGAAAAATGACCTAGAGCCAGGCGCCTCCTGTTCCTCAAACCTGTGACAAAGGGAAACAACTAGTTAGACAGTCTACAGATTCTGAGGCATATAACTGACTCACTATTTCTTAGCAACCCACAACCAGGCGTAAACTACCAAATGTGCTTCTCTTAAATAATCCCTTCCTTTAACCAACTTAGTCAAACCAAAAGCAGAAAATGAAATGTATAACAAAACAGAGGTATCTATAAAGGACTAGACAAAAAGCAAGAGACCAGAACACATTCAACACTCACAATTTAGCATGAGAGTCACAGAGAGCTGATTGCCGCAAATCAATTAGTCTGATTGAGCCTTTCGAACTGCTATATGCTAACATATTACATTGATTGGGGTGGAATTCTGCCGAAGTTATCACCTCTGCACAAATAATGTCAGACATGTCAAGCAGGAGACCAAGGAAAGCTAAGAGGGGGCAAATAGGCAATTACTTTCTACACACACCATGCTCTCTATGTGCAATAACTTGTTATCATCTATTATATCACTTACCAGTTAGATCCTCCATATTTCCAGGTTTGACATCAACAATATTGAAACTTTGGTTGCTAATTTCCAAGTTCCAAAGATTTATTCGCAGATCGTCAGCTGATATAAAAGTCTCACCATCACTACAAAAAGTGGAGAAAAGATGTTATCTCTAGCTTCGTAAGCCAAACCAAATTAATAGATTAACGGAATGACAAGGGATGCTCTTGCATGCAAATAGTACAGAGACTTTTCATGTCATGTGTAAATACTAAATACGCAAGACAAAATTGAACCACATGCAACAGTTTCCCCTGTTGAAAGATTTTACGGAAGCAAATCATAACACGATTACCAGTGTAAAGGTGAAGGTGTAAAATAACAAGCAGAAAGTTGAATTTAATAGAAAAAAGAATGTGAAGAACTAAGGGGAAGCGACTGAGAAAAAATAATATAAGTGGCATTTCATCACAAGCAAAACAAAAGTAATTAATCAAATAGATTCAAATACCAAAGATGCACAGTTACAAAACAGGTTAAAAAATAATGGACGAGTGAGCCTACCTATTGTTTGAAATGGAATTAATGTGATAATCATGAGCGTGAGCATAAACCCTACGACATCTTGCCACCAGACTCGTCTCAGCGCTCGTAACCTACATCATATGACAGTCAGGATCCAGATAGCATAAGCAGTTGAATATAATAGATTCTAATAAGATGGTAATTGTTTCCAAATTGGAACTTCCCAGCTATAGCAGACAGAAGCACTGGCAGAATATAAGACACAAACAAGTCAAGACAGAACGGCTATAATCTATCGAGATGTAGCTCAATGATATAGCTGCAAAGCACTCATAAGCAAACACCATAATCCGTAATCTCTTGAATTCATTTCTCTAAATAAGTTCCACAAAAAGTTCATTTTCCTGTTTAATTAACATCATGGCTAGGTCAAAAATCGAAAGAAAGAGTGTGCATGGAAGTATAAATATATGTGCAGAGAGCAATGAAGTGGTACAACTACCACCGGCAAACGCAGCGATGGGAAGCCTCCAGCTGGGATGGAAAAATCATTGCCAGGAGAGTTGTGCAACCTGTCAGTGCAACCTCCATTTGCAAGATATGGCTTAGGTGCACTTGAATTACTTGAACTAGCAACACTACCATTTCCTACAGCTTTTGAAGGATCCACATTCATCTCAGAGATTTTCTTAACCTTCTTTTCTTGGACCTGTTACCAGGCAGAAAAAGAAAAGAAATCAGTGGTTGCAAAACATATCCAGGCACCGCCTCACAAGATACAGTATCTGATTAACAATGGCATCACAACAGTAAACTATGTAAATGAGTTATTAAGCAGGGAAGTGACAAATTGTTCCTCTGTGGTAATACACAGCTCAAAGAAAATCCAGTATAGCTCAATCCCATTATACATAGCTGTTTCAAGTATTTAAACAAACAATATCAAAACTGTGGCAAACTACAGAAAGTATTATACACAGTTAAGCAATAACTAGATGAAGTGTCATATGGGACATAATTGCCAGCTAAAACCGTTGGCAACAGCTGAGGAGTTCCAATTCAGTGTATAACTGACACTCCAAATTTAGTCAATTAATGAATAGATAAACATTAAACTACTTCAATCATCTGGTAAAAGATACTTTCCAGTTACAACAAAATGATGGATATTCCGTACCTTCCAAAACTTGATTGTTTTATCATTTGTAGATAGAAGAAAAAGGGCACCGTTGGCTGTTTGGCACCATCTAATTTTGTTGATTTTCTCCTCTATTTCCAAACTCTTGAGATAGTCGAACTGGTAGAAAGGAAGAGACATATGAGCAACATCACCTGAAAGGAAAAACATGTTACAATAAACAGAACTTGCCCCAAGTATACCTCAGGTTCATGGCTCTGAAATTCTGTTTTGTAACGGAACTCAGGATGCCTGGTAATTGGATAATCCATCCTTTCCAAATCTCTCCTTGATCCACCATGCTACAGATCAATGATACCATATTAGTAAGCATGACATAGAACAAATAATTGATTGTATGATAACTTCCTATAAAATTTATAGTGAAGGAATAACGCACATCCTTCGTATCTGTCCTCTCAAAAAGGACCACCCGTCCTCCGCGGTCCCCAGTTGCAAGATGATCTCCAGTTTTATCAAATTCAATGGCTGAAATAATGTCAACTGCAGACAACAAGAAAAGAATTAAGGGACATGCATCATTAGGACAACAGTAGTAAAATGATAATAGAGAATAAAATAAAATAATGCCAATTCAAACATCAAAAAGGGAAATTTCACACTCGATTAGGCACCACAAAAAATACGGGTCCGTAAAATTCTTTAAATTCCTTGGACAGATATCACCGATTTCAATGCACATATGAATACAGCAAATGCCACAAAACCAAAACCAAACTACAGAATTCTAGCGCTCCGTAAAGTTTTATCCCCGTAGCTTGGAATTACATACTGTAGCACTGTATCTCCAGAAACATAATCTTCCAGACCAGCTTCAAAATGCATAGAACCAGAAATTCTATTGTGTGTTATGGTAGCTGGCAACTGATCCCAACCTTCACGCATCCACTACCTAGAACTTTCCAGACCACTAGCAGTTATTAGGTTTTATCAACTGTAGCCACCTTCGCACTTCATAGTGTTTCAGTTGGTTTGCAACAAGACCGGTAGAGGCAAACAATTATTGCTTTCCAGATCCCCGTGTGCAAACTATGAAGCCATCAGTTAAATGGCGTAAACTAAAACTCAGTGGAGAGAGTGTCACCAACTAATAAAACCTTTTGGCTCAACAATGTGCTTATCAATTCCTCCACTAACTAGGGATGCCTTAATTATGTATGGTCAATCTTACAAGCCTCCTCGCCCCAAGAGAAGCAAATTGCCCAACACATGAAAGCACAGAAAACCAGCTGGTTACTTTCAAGTATAGGGCAGAAAGAACGGGTAGTGGGTCAGGCATTCTTCTATAGACCATCTTACTGTGTCGGATAATAATCCATGCAAAAGACCGTCTTATGAAACTTCATACAGTTCAAGTACTTTAATCTCTTGATTGCCAGATCAGTGTAACCAGACACTTCCAAACTACTTCAAACTATTGAATAATGATTGCAAAGTGGACTTCAATCTAAATCTAGAGCTTATGTGGTTGAAAAGCAAGAGGAAAAGGATCTCAGAAGGAATAACAGTCATATTCACCGTAGTAAATTCAGGACAGAGACTCCAGATGCAAATTTCAGGACTGCTAATCCAATTCACTGCTGTGTCAACTATCAAGACCGAACCAAAGCAATACACACCTAAGCTCCAGCATCCAGAGCTTTAACTGACCCAATCTACAACCAGAAAACCTTGCATGCACTTAAACAATGAAAGGGAGATGAAAGTACAATAGCTCACTAACGTCACAAAGCTCACTTCCCACTGTCTACCCTCTCAATCTAATTAATCTCTAAACCAATCGCCATTATCGTCCAAAACGCAACAAAACCCCAGAACAAGATGAAAAGCACACATTGACCCATAAACCTAGGACTACTTCTTCATCAACAGAGCACGATCCATTTCGGATCCAGAATCTAGAAAACAAGCCCTAACTTGCAAGATCTAAATAAAAAGCCTATTCACCTTCTTGTAATTCCTCGCCGGCAGTGCGCTCGCCGAACACCTGAGAGAATTTCCACTCCAGAGGCGGTGGTGGGCCCGCCGGAGTTGCTGCTGCGACCTCATCGCCACCGTTCATTTTGCTCTCTCTCTATCTCTAAATTCCCCCAATCTATATCTTCTCTATCGAATCTTCCTCCTTGTTAGGGGAAACAGAACCAAATGATGAAACAATTGAATCGAAGAAGGAGAACAACAACAACAAGCAAAGCTGAACCAAGGTAGAAGAAGTCCACTCCAACAAAATCAAGACCTAATCACCAGAGATCGCATCTCTGGTTTCATTCCGCAAATCCAAGAAAACCCCATCAACCAATCTGCTTCCTCCTCTCTCTCTCCTCTTTTTTCCTTTTTCTCTTTTTCCGTCTTAATTATCAAATGACTACAATAGATTCTTCTAATTCAACCATTGAAACAGAGCTCCCTTCTTTCTCCTTTCTGTTGTAATTTTCCTTCCCTTTTTTTCTTCTCCTATGTCTCTCTCAAACAGACCCTCCCTAAAAAATCATTTCACCCTCTCTATAAAGTATAAACGATCAGCGGAAGGTAGGAAAAATGAAAATTTGGTATAAGAAAATAAAATAACTTAAAAGTGAAAAGTTGGATCCTTTTATCTTTCTCCCTCGGCGTTGCTACGGAGAAGATGAGAGAGAGGAGATTAGGAGAAATTGGGGATTTTGGTGGTCTGCTTCGTTTAGTCCTTGAAACTCTTACTGACTAACAAATCAGTCCTGACATGACAAAATACTATGGTCCTACATGTGCGAGTTGGTTATGTCTACTTTGTCAATGTTTCCCACCAATTTGATTTATCCTTTTCTTATTGAAATTTCAGTGATTGTTTTGTTTGTATTCCACATATAATTTTATATTAAACTGCGTTTTAAATTTTCTTTATAAATTTTTAGATAAATTGATATATATATATATGGAAACGACTCGTATGCGTCAGACACATACTATGCGACAGGATTCTCTACCGTAGATCTAATCTAACGGTCATTATAAATTATATTAAAATTACTAATAATAATTACTATTTGCACCCCTTAAATAATTATATGTGCTATATAGCCCCCCAATAATAATTTGCGTTTTATTTTCTCACATGATACCTATTCGTTTTTGTGAGGACTCAGATGATACCTTATTTCTTCTAGATCTTTTAATGAACACCCAAAAATTATACAATTGATAAAATAAAGTTCCATTAAAAGGTTGCCCCAATTCGACAATCATAAACCACCATCATCGTCATAACGATTTTTCCAGATACCCCAATTGCAAACCACTAATTTTACCATCAGTCCATCATCATCATCGTCCCTGCTTCTGATTTACATCGACTTTGGCTCATCATCATATGTTTTTAAGGTCGCAGATGACAGCTACCCTTTCGCGACGAATCCGAAACAATTGACGGTGAAAGACTATGACCTTTACGTCCTGTAAACAATGACTAAGGCTGAAATGGAGAGAGGGGATTGGGTCTCGTCAAGGGAATTCTCTTGGTCGAAGTCCAGAATCGTAATGGAGTGAGAAAGTTTGGACGATGAAGAGAGACGGCCGTCGGATTACGGTGGTGACGGCGGCAACTTGATAATTGGGAATTTGGGGGGCTAGGGAAGACGATGATACATGAAAGGGAATTCTCTTGGTCGGAGTCCAGAATAGTGAGAAAGTTTGGACAATGAAGAGAGACGGCCGTCGGATTACGGTGGTGACGGCGGCAACTGGATAATTGGGAATTTGGGGGGCTAGGGAAGACGACGATACATGAAAAAACGGCATCGTTTTGTGCTCGTCTCTGAATCGAAAGTGGCCTGGAGAACGGCGTCGTTCTATAGGTGTAGCTGGAAAAAAAAATTATAATGGTATGAGGGTCGAACCAGCGTCCTGGTGGTTACCAAGGGCATTCTTCACCATTCATGCTGTACAAGGATTTTGATTCAATATACAAACACCTTTTTATTTATAATTATAAAATGAGTTCTTGTAAAATTAAAACACAAAACTAACCTAAGCAGGCCTTTTGTACCAGGCCCAATAGGGCTTAGTCCAGCAGATCGGCGGCTGCCCCTGCCCTCCCTTTGTCTCTTTAACAATAATCAATTGTAAAAAATAAAATAAAACAGAGAACAATAATGGCAAAGTTGAAAATTGGAAGACTACTTACCTACCAAATCTAGCAAACGATTTATCTTCTGCTTTTTCTCCCCTCCCCATGCGCTGCCTTTTCGGTTTTCCTTCAAACTGATCAGACACATACTCAACCGCCCTCATCCTCCCTCCGCCTCCGTTGCATGTCTCCGCCTCCGCCTGTCAAGCAACCGCTGGTCGCTCAGTAGCGGTCTCCTCCTCCGGGCCACCATCGTCGCCTGCCACCTCCGTCGCTGATTCGCTGTAGCGGTTGTGGGACGAAGAGCGGAGGAAAGTCGCCCGGACTAACCACGTCGGTTGTGGGAAGAAGAGCGGGCCACCACCGTCGCTTGCCACCTCCGCCGCTGACTCGTTCCCGATCTGCTCGACTAACCATGCGGTGTCGCCGGCCACGTTTTCACCGCCGCAGGTACTTTTCTTTAATTGATTGTTAACTATTTGGTACGTTCTATTAGAATAGTTGATCATAATGTGTTCTTATACTCCTATTGAACATCCACAGTACGTGCAAGAACAGAAATTGAGTAGGGTTTCCGTGCTGTAATTTTCTGACAATGGATGATATATCGCAATGGTACCCGTAAGTATTGTTTACCAACTAATCGTTACGACAGTCTACTCCGCTTCCTTTTCCTATTGTCAGCCATTACTAACGTCTAACGGTTTTTTTTATAGCGACTTTCTGGTTGAGCCTGGTTTCGTTGCAAAGCTGAAGTATGAGGAAGCAGTACATATGTCTATTTTGTCGGATTCAATCGATCTTACATTGTTGCAAGAGAATGGTGACGATGAGGTTATTGAAAATTTGAAATTAACTTTTTTGTCATTCATCCTTTCGATCTCGTTTGCAATTATTGTGTTTGTTAATGCTTGTTAATTTTTTTTGAAATTCCTTTTCTTGTTTTAAACACCAGGGCACTGCTTACCTCATCTCCGGACGTGTCGGCGAGGTGAAGACATCCTGGTGTGCTGAATGTAGAGTTCATTTGATCCACCTAACTATCGAGGATGATTATTTGGATATTGAGGTTGTTTTCCATCGACAAACTTGCGCAAAATCGTTTCAGATGTAGTAAGTGATAAAGATATGGCCAATGCCGATTTCGTTACCCTTATCAACTTGATTGGTGGAAACTCCTATGAGTTTATGGTCACATTGGGTCCTTGGAACAATGTGCCGAGTTATTTTGAGCTGTTATTGGTAAAATTATTTTTTCCTCCCGGAAACTGAATACCATTTCAGTAATGTCAATATAATCTACTAAAGTTGCTTAGTGTCCGCCTTAATGTTATTTCTCTTGTTATGCAAGTGTACTAAGTGTGTGAACACAATGCTTTTTTGTACGGGTTCTGCCCTTCTTAATGAATTGTTCCTTGTATCTTTCTATACTTATCGAAACATTTCTCTATTACTTATAAATGGGATCAGTTGCCTAATGAAAAGTTATGAAACAAAATTCATGTTAATTTGGTTCAAATTACTGTATCATCAACATACCACACCCCAATTCGACTACCCAAAAGGCCATTATCTGTTCACGGTTCACCCAAGCTACCCCATAGCTAACCATTTATCTCACCAACAGCCATCAAAACCCAACAACCATCAAAACCATGGTTATCTCCAATTACTGCCCAGGGAAGACGATGAGACTTGACAAACGTCGTCGTTTGTGCTTGCTGCTAAAGCGAGAGTGTCCCAAGGACGACGTCGTTCCACAAGCATAGCTAAAACATGATTACATGGATGTGGGTAAAAGAAATAAGAGAATATGGAGAATCGAACAGGCAACCTTGTGATGATAATAGCAAATCTTAACCATCAATGCTGTACAGGTATTTTGATAGTTTAAATGTACACGTTTTATATACATATTTTGTAACAATTAAACATAATAACAAAAATAATTAAGGAAGTAAAGCAAAATAAATGAAGACGACGACAATTCTCTTCATAGAAGTCAATGGCTTTACCGTGACTATATTATATGAAAAAGCTATCTACATGTGCATACCATGCATTTGGACAATAAACCTTCCATACTACTTGTAGACACCAGTTTTTGTCAGGGTTAAAATATTTTTAATAAAATGTTAATTAGTTTCAATTTAAGGTTTGCAATAGCAAATCTTTAATGGCCTTCTAACTAAAACGTATTTGTAGTGTTTGGGAAATGTATTGGTTATCATAACTGAATAAGATTAGCAATAGCAAATCTTATTTGGTACAATTTGGATTATTGAGATTAGCAATAACAAATCTTAATCGATACAATTTGATAGTGATGGCATGCTTCAGTTAGACTATCTAGTTTTAAATCGAAGGAGTTGGGCTATGGAATGAATACTTGTATGATTCTCTACCGTAGATCTAATCTAACGGTCATTATAAATTATAGGCAAAATACACTTGCATAGCCAAAACTTTCACCTTTGTGCCACTTATAGCCACATTTGGCGAAATACCTCTAATAGCCACTTTTGAAAGATGTTGCGTAGGGGCGTACATGGGTCGGGTGGTCCGGGTTTAGCCATTTTATCACCCAACCCATGCACTACGGTTTGGAAAATATCAAACCCAAACCCACCCTAAAAAATTTAAACCCTACGGTTTGTTTCTAATTGGGTTGGGTCGGGTTGGCGATATTTTTAAGTAAAAACCCAACCCAACATAAAATATATAATTATTCTACATCATAAAAATATTTTATAACTAATTAAAATTTCAAACGAATAAACCGTGGTGAAAGGTATCAAAATTCACATATGTTGTTTGAATTTTAATAAAATGTGATTTACTTCAAAATATGTCTAGTTTTTTTACGATATTTGTTGAAATAGGCTAAAAAGGTTATAAACAAACGCACCCACAATATGTTATTCTATTAAAATTGTACACACGAAAAACGATTACGTGAA